ATTGATAACTATCAAAACGCCTGCCATTTGATATAAATAAATAAATACGTTCGGGTTTAGCCATTAGTAATTGATAGTCATACGTGTTCCTGCTCATCAGGTTTGTTTCAGCGATTCCATGAACCCATTGCCAATGCACTATATGCCAGTACTGTAAACATGTCCCTCAAGTGAAACACATTTTGTCATTATTTTTTAGCTTTTATTGAAGATTTTTTAATATCCGTTTCGTCGCTTTTTAATACCTGCCAATTTTAACATTTCCTTTAATAAAGTGTGGCGATTCAATTAATGTGAGATCGAATATAACAAATTTTTTTATAATTTTTGAACTCCATTAACTTATTATGGCACTTGCCTAACCATAAGCAATTCACCTACGTAAATTGTATATTTTAAGTGAATTAAAATGCTATTAAATTCTCCTTAAATTAATATTATCTTTGGTATCTAAATTCCAAGACTTGCCCAGGTTTTATCTTCAAATTTGCATGCACCAAATGCCATAAGAGCTTGCATCGGACAAGTGAGCATAGTCACGTGTGCTGAGTAAATGCATGTTGACTAACGCCCTTGCCAATTAGCTCTTTAATTGGTAGCTAAGTTTCTGCTATCCTTCATGTCGTTACCTAGCAACAAGGGAATTTTCGTTTCCATTGGAGGTTTAAGCTCTAAGAGGCTAGTTCCGGTGGAATGTATGATTTTTTTTCCTTAATCTCTATAACAAAGTTGCGGAAATGTAGGAATTATTTCTACAACTTATTCTTTAAGAAAATAAAGTTAAGCACTTAAGCGGATTCCACACAAATACTTCCAACCAAACCACAGGAATTCTTTTTACCCAAAATCTCCTCTGAATAAAATTGTTCCCCTATGACGTGGAACGGGTTTAGGGTTTACTTTGTCAAAAACACCCACTTGCTTAAACTTTCCTATGATCAATATCATTCGGCTTGGCATAAAGTTGATTTCTGCCTGACTAAGAGGTTCCGCCACCCAAAACGGCCCATTAAAAAACGTTCTATGTCGTAAACGATTTTTTATCAGTTTTGGTAGAGCTATCTACTTCACACCCCTTATTTCGTATAGTACCGTATTAATGTCTTTACTATAAGACGTGCTTGTTATTTAATTCATACAAATAACAATTAATTCCCTTCAAAATATAAGCTCCATTTCAGCAGTTGAAGAAATGACAGCATGTTGATGCTGAAGTAAAAAAAACAACACAGTAAATGTTGACAATATCAGCATGACAATTAAATATTTCAATATCTTGTACTTGATGATTATATTTCGACCTTGCAGTGTGAGATAAACTTACCACACGTGGTGCACCCTGGGCAACGTATACTCATACGGCAAAAAAGTCTTTTAACTGGGAGTTGACTTCT